CTGCTATTGAATACATCGATAAGGCAAGCAGACGTGTTCACTATGAGTTGTAGGATTCTAGAAGCACTTAATTAATCATTCAGCGTCGATCACTTCTAAGGAAGAAGTTAAGCGTAAGGGTGATTTTGAAGGTCAGCAGAGGTAATGTACACGAGATCCGCATTAGTGATGAAAATAGTTTCGTCATATGAGTACTCGGTTGCAGATATTGGAGGTGTGTCAGCTGGGAAAATGTTTAACTGAGAATAATACTCGAGGAATTCCGACAAGAAATAGATACGAAGGAGAAATGTCGATGCGTCTACTCATTTAGCGAAATGTCTGTTTTCGAGATTATAAGAAAATAGTTTAATATCAGAGTGTTCGATAGAGATGACTGAAGGGGGGAGTGTTTGATGGATGGTCATAGTGGTCGTATATCCGAAGAAAAGGCAGAAAATAGGTACTTAGTGTTGTGTAGGTATTATATATCTATATGTTTTTTTTTCAATTATAATAGAAAACCAGGATGCCAAACGCGGACGAACGATCGAGCAACATTTACGAAAACTGTGGTGCAGAAAATTATTTTTCCTTCGCAAAAGACGATTTGCGGTAACGATTAATCGCTATATAATGTGATGCCTACTTGACGGGCAGTGGAGTGAAAATTACGAGATCCGCGTTGGATATCAGGTAGAGTCTGTTTTACGTTAATTGTTTTGGGCATTATATTGAAACACATGCGATAAAAATGCGCAACGCAAACTACATATTATACTATTGACCCAGCTAATTACGTTTTCGCAGTTGGCTTATTTAATTTTGAATAATTGTTCTTTATTGGTTTAACATTATACCGGAGTATACACCATTAACAGACGAAACAATCGGCCGCTATGTTTTACCATTACATTAATTATCCATCTTATCTAATTAAGTATTTTAATAGTGTTCATTCGTTATTATAGGTCATATAATTTATGGAGTAATTATTGTTTGATAACACCGATAATATTCGTACGTATTGATTTTTTTCCCCCGTAAATGCTTTCTCTGATACTTAATTTGCATTAAAAGTTTGGTGTTACGCTACACATTACTTTTTAGATTTATATAGGTACTTACACAGAAGGTACTTCGAAGTAATATTATTCATAGTAAATTTCATACTTGTAAAAAAAATAAAAAAAAAAAAATCCATAAATCGAAAACTTGTGAATAATGTTAAATTTCATTACCTCGATAATTTTTTTTGTTTTAGGGCTTGAAAATTGTACGCAACCCTGCACTATTTTACATCGTTTGAAAAATCCAGTAAATTTGTCTCAGTTAGTATTGGTTAAAATGCGTCATAATCAATTTTTTTCATGAATTTTTAAATAATCAAATTAATAAATCATAATAAAATATAAATAAAGATTTTTTTAATAAATTATCCTAATCTTTGTTGTAATTAAATTAAAATATTTGTATACATTCATAACTCTTTAATTTTTTGTAAATAATTATAAAAATAACTTTTACTATACATAATAGACAGAACGTATTTAAAATATATAAATTAAATCAAGCCGTTAATGTAAAATATTTACTCATGTAAATTTGGCGCAAATGGGCTGTACCCAAAACAAATTTTTTTTTTTAATGGGTAACATCTGTATCGTTTCTATCGAATGTATACTACAGTCAACGGTACAAAGGATTTTGATCGCACTGGAACCAGTATCTTGACAACTTTTTTGGAATTAAATATTTTAGTAATTTTATACTCAATCATACTATTTGAAGAACATTTTTTATATTCATTGAATTACAAAATGCAATTAATTCTAAAAACTAAAAACATCGCATTGTCAATAACTAATCATAATTTGATAAAAAGTACTATTTTAGTCGACACGATACTCAACGCGCAATTTTTTTATGCGAGTTAGTTACGATGACATTCGCATACCATATATATATAGTATAAGTGGACAAAATTATCATCACATTTTAATCACCATCTTCATCATTGTTTTTGGGGGCTGTTTTTAAAATAAAAAATATGCATACATATCTGTATATGAATATTGCATGTATTCAACTATGAAGGAATAGGTATTTATAGGACACTCCGTGTTAGAATATTCGTCGGAATTTTAAAAATTTAATCTCTGCAACAACAACGCAGATCCTTCTTCTTAAAATATGTTTATACTTCTATCCGTACAATATATTATGTGTAGGCCATCTTATACCCAGAATCTGTCTTCTATAACATAAATCAATTATGCATTTTAAGTACCACACAAACGTAAAAAACAAACGTTTATAACATTTTAAAAGTGACATTTTTATCGGATAATATTTTTGTATTACCAGGCATTCGTTTATTGTTCATATACCTACGTCTCATGAAGAATACGTTCAGTGTTTACAACGTCTAAAATAAACATGCAAACTTATCGTGCGGTAATGGATGTGCTCCGAAAATAAACGCCTTACAGTTTACTTAGAGAAAAAAAATGTATTCTTATTGAATTAAATGGAATGAAACTGTTGTTAGCGAAAAATTAGTCCAATAATAAACGGATTGTTATACCGATTAATTATTTGATGATAATAATCGTATTGGCACATTAATCAACACTGAAAAAAAAAAACATCTGTTGTACATTTATGAATTTTAACTAATTGAGTTTGGATTATTTTTAGAGTCAGGGTTTATGGCAAAGGAATTTCTCTTCTCTTTTCGTATTATTGAATCGTTCTCGAATTAGTTTAGATAATTAATTAGTGTTTGCAGTGTTCGCAGTATAGTTTTGTCAGTAATTAACTAAAAATTGTGTATTTGAGCATTAATTATAAGTCGTGACCTAAATAATTGTTTTGCGAAATGTTTTCGTATTATTCTCCTGAAGAATCATTCGAATAGCCTAACCTAGGTTGTGGTCGAAGTTATTCTAAATAAGAGGAGACAATTTTGAAATTTCGAAAATACGCTACACGTTATACATGTATATTCTATCTTTTTTTAAAACTGTATATATTTATTTTTTCTGGTAATTTGTTTAAGATAAATATCCATTATATTAATATTAATTGCGAAAAACCACAATATAATAAACATTCTAATTTAAAATTATAACTATCCAGAAATTCGTAACATGGATAATATAAGTAGATGGATGAAAAATATTTATTTGAAACGACAGAAAGTAGAAAATGAGACACGAGTCAATATTAACATTGATAATTCGATCAATTTTGGGAATATAGTTTTAAAAATGTACTTCTAATTGTTACGTTTTAATTTCTTATAGATTTCTATAAATCTTCTAAAATTATATGGTATATATTATTCAATAGGTATTTAAAATAATATTAAATTATTAATAGTGAAATACTTATCATTGTATAATAGAACAAAATTCAAAATGTATAGGTAGTTTTTTATTCAATAACTCAAGTTACGTGAATATATCATTATTCAGATAACACAGACTTTCGTTGACAGTTTTATCTGATATTCAGAAAACTTTCAAAAAACTTGCCAGTCATCGAAAATTGAATAACTATTCTAGCGTAAAAAATCAACTTTATCACACACAATATGTATGTATATATATATATAAATTTTATCTTTGTTATTTATCTTTTATATTTTCATTGTTCAAAAACATGTCAAATGAGGTTTTTAAAAACATCACAGGTCTCCTATAATAATATTAATTTATACATCTTAATTTTCCGTCATCGAACATACTCGTATTTTATCGTCCGAAGTATAATGTTTTAAAAATACAAATTAAATTTCATTAAAAATGGAACTGTAACACTACTAAATCTTGAGTAACTTTAAATTATATAATACGTTACGTATATAGACCTCGGGTGAATTAAGGAGATAATTGAGGTGATTTCTCTCCCCACTGTCGTCGTTCAACTAAAAAACCATGATAATCGGTGATGTTCAGACGTTGTAGACAGTTGAAATATATTTAAAATGAATTAACATATAATTAAAACCGGTGCATAAGTCTGGTATATGGTTATCTTAAACGTGCACCCTTTGAGTTTTAATATAAACGTCTTCCGTTATCTTGGTCAAGATGCGCCCCAGATATGCACACACAGCTGGGAAATATAATTTCAAAGCGTTGTATATCCGTTTTCAAATAAAGGCGTTCATCATTATTTTACTACCGATCGTATCGTAGACATATTATTTTATCACCTAATTTAACCATCTAACATTGATGAACATCGGATATTGGATGCTGAAACGACATTGATTGAAAAACCCTTAAAAAAAAAAACTAATACAACAATCGTTTTCCCGAGTATTTTTTCTCCCTGTGTGTGGGTGTGTAGTTTCAAACGAATAAAGTCTATTTTATGGCTCATTAAAGCTAGCGATCGTATTGGCCCCCGGACATACACACATGCATAACGGACACCCTACGTTTACACGTATACAAATAAGATAAGGAGGAGGAGGAGGGAAGTATTACTATCTGGCAGTAGTACGATTTGCCCGCCGTACGAATAAATATAATTTAAGGTGAAGAACAGAGGAGCCGGAAGGTGGCGGTGGATTCGCGGAGGACAGGAGAAACGCGTGTACCGCGCGGCTGTCAACGGCGGCGGCGCGCGCGCATTCGTACACACACACACATACACACACACGCGCGCGCGCGCGCGCGAGCACACGGACGACGTACACGAGCGTACGCACGCGCGCACCCGCGACGAAAGGGACGCCGGCGTCTGATATCGAACACGAACGGCGCGGGTTCCTCGACGGACCGTCGCACATCGGTCGGGGTGAGGGATGTCAACAAGTAGCTCGGGCCGAGACGCGCCGAACTCGGCCGACCGACCGCCGCCTGCGGTATTGATTGCGGACCGGCGCCCGCACCGACGTCCGCCGCGGCCGTTACGCGATCGCCTCGCGCGCGCACCAGCGCTCGCACGCCCGCGGACGGCACGTAAAAATACGTCTGCACACACGCGCACGGTTCGCGCACTCAGGCCGTCGCGCGCAGACGCACGCACACACGGGCAGGCGCGCACGTACACGCGGAGGGGAGCGCACGCACCGAGTGGCGAACGCGCGGCACACCACACGCTCGTACCGCCAAGCCGACGCACTGTGCTTGCACACGCAGTAGACACACCGTTCGAACGCGAAACGCGGGTCCCCCCTCGGGTTTTTTTTTTCGTTCGCCCGACAACATACACACACACGCATACACTACCGCGGCAAACGGTACACGCACACACGGCACACACGGCATACACGGCACACGCACGACACGATGGCCGCGCCGCTCGTATGTACGCGGTTTAGTGACAATTACGAACTGAAAGAAGAGCTCGGCAAGTAAGTAACATATATATATATATATATATACATATCCGACCGTTTCTTCGGTTACTGCTAAATTTTTCGTCCCGCGTGTGTTTCGTTTGCCGTCCACCCCGAATGGCCAATGTTATCGTCCCCGCGATACGAGCGCACGCCGTCCCGGCTGGACGCGGTTCGTCGCTCTCCCTCCCTCCCCCCCACAATTATTCGTCGTGTAACAAGTACGAATATCTATGATCCTATATCATGCTCGCGATTCGTCACCGCGCATCCTCTTAATGGGCTGCTATCGACGTGACCGCACGCGCGTAAACGGGATACTTGTGTCGAGTATCTTTTTAGCCGAAAACTCGATTGTAGTGCGCGTGGATTTGACTGAATACGATTACGTACACGCGCATGCAGTGTGTTTTCCCCTCACGTCCAACGACCAGAGGAATCGTGTAATTCAAATTAGGTACAACTAAACGACGATTGCTAGTCGTTCGCACGCTTTTAATCGGTCGACGCGTTCCCCATTTATTTTTAAAGCTGCTCGACCGTTACCGTCGGCCCACTAGGTCGTCATCGCGGTTTCCGTGTGTTATGTGTGCTCGTGTGTGTGTGTGTGTGTGTGGGGGGGGGGACCCCCGGTGCGTCTGAACACTTACGCGATCGATTGTCCTTCGACATAACTGCGGTAATGTGTCCGCCGCGAAAACAAAATTACGATAAATACCGTATATCGCGTTTGTCCACCAGTATAATATACCCCAGAGAGCTCCGGTCCGTGCGCGAAATCCTCTTCTACGGATTTCGCACGTATTTTATGCGAATCAATAGGGCGGCGAGGCGACCGGCAGTGCGTCTACAAGTCCGGCCGACTCATTTGCGCCGCGCATGTGTATGTGCACTCGGATAACGCATACAAACACGCACGCGTACCCTAGTATTAAATATGTATATGTTTAATTTTAACGATGTGAAAGTAATAGTGATATGTGTATTGCATCCCCCAGGAAAATGCGAGATGGCTTCACCGCTGTGCGGCTGTATCCCATATATGTATTATTTCGTGTTGGCTGCGCCGTGTGTGTATGTGTATCGATGATATGTATATATACTCGGATATATTCCTATTTACACCCCCCGTACATACTGCACGCTGTTATCGCGACCCGTACGCTTTACGTGTTTTACATCATAGCGCGCGGCATGGACTGTAGGGATTCAACTGACGAACCGCAGCAGTGCGACGTTAACAAAATTAGATCAGGTCATCTTCCTTTCCCCTTACATCCTACCTGTCCTCTATACTCATACGCACACTCCGCGAATGAACACATATATACTCTCTCTCTCTCTCTTCTCTTTTACTATCTCACATGAGTACACACACGACTACCCCGTCCTCCCACCTCCACCTTACGCCGTACATCGTAAACGTTAAATTGTCCTAATACACGTGCTCATAAATCACGTGTGCCATCGCTTTTGGACGGTGACTTTGCCGCCGAGGTGTATATTATATTATTACATTACCTACTGTATATACGCGGCGGTGTTGTATAATACCTAACACAGTGGTGCGATACTCCGGATTTCGGTATTTTCCCATCCCTGTAATGATTGAGAGCCAGTCACGTTTTACAAAATAATATTGTTGACGTATTACATATTTTATTATTGTGATTATTATTATATGATTGCATTCGAGTATACATGTGTATATATTTGGAGCGTCAGGAATTTGTCTTTGTGGCAGTAAGTGATGAAGCCTGTAATATATGATACATATTGAATTGTATTATTAATGTTCCCTCATTGTATTAACATGTACAGCACGAGATTGATTGTATTACTGTTCGCACCATAGACATATATTGAAGGGGGATGAAAGGCGGAAAATTTCCTCCCTCTAAAAATTGAACGGGGTAATGCCGGGTATTTTGTAAATTAATTAGAAATATACTATAGAAAAGGAATTTTAGATGTAAGCATTATTTTTAAGAATTATTTTATCGAGAAAAGTGTAATCTTTTGAATGTTATGAATCCCTGAATATTATAATATGATTGTAATTATAAGTATTTTTATAAATGTACGGGTTTTTTGATTACACTGATTAAACTGATTGTGTGCGTGTGCCTATATACAATATTATTTTACGACTGTCTGAGGAATCTGGTGATTCGAGCGTTGAGACCGAATGACGTATGAAAAAATCACACGACACACAAGGAATTCTTGGCCTTACAGAGCATTTCAGAGCTTTACTATATTATAATCATTATTGTAACTGTCAGATTTTCTCGTATCAATATTATAGTGAATTTAAAAGTGAAGTGACATTTCTCTTTATTTGTAAATGGGCACACGAATGTGTGTGCCACACACTAATCATAAAGTTCCCCCTAAAAATTGATCAAGTTACGTCCATGGTTCGCGTGGCATACGTAACATGTTATGTGAAACATATATTATGTATATTTTAATATGTAGACTTGTACATGTCAGTCGCATGGAAACGATAACTTTGGAGAAATAAAAATATGATAAGCCCAGTGCGTAGCGAGAGGGAAATCGAAATATTTCATATAATATGCTAGTAGTTTGAACGATAAAGTGGAGAACCTTAGTCGGAAAACTTTTGATGTAGGACGAGGAAAGCGGGAATTGATGTTCGTTTGTGTTACTTGTTATAGTTGGACAACAGGATGTTAGGGTTTTTCGTACTTGTCTTTCTTTCTCTCCCTCACCTTCTAATCACTCAAACCCACGTTCACGCACTCATTCTCGTTCTCTCGTCATCTTAGTTTACTCTCTAACTTACTAGGGTTTCACGCTATTCGACTGCCACCGTATTACTTCGGACCTTCCCGTATAAACTTTATGTGTTCCCCGGTATTTTCATATATATATATATATATATATAGATGTATATTTACACGCATACCACGCCGCTGCGTGGTGATCCGACTGCGAATTTTAGCAAGCACGCTCCTTTTAATGGCCCTCGCGACACTATTTCACTGGAGTGGCACTCTACACAAATCCTTAACCTCCTCTACCACAGCGTCCTCTCGTCCCCTATGAGTTTACTACTCTCTGTCTCCGTATACATGTACATATACCGGCAAGAGTTTTTCCTTTATTTTTTCCTTCATCAATTTTTTTTTCCCCTTCGTTTTTTCGCTTTGTTCGTTTGCACACATATACGTGTACGTAACACCACGACTAAACCGCACACAAGAGCAAATCGATACGCGTTGCGCTCGCGTTATGTAACGCGAATCTAATAAACATAGGGGTTTTTGTTCCAGCGCGACGTGTTAAAAGCGATCCGAGATTGCCAGTCCCTATCTTCGCCGTTCCTGTCGCCGGTCAGCAGGGACGGGAAGGAAAAAAAACCGAATACATTCGTACGGCCGTTTCGACCCTTCATCAATCACACGAAAGCCGCGCGATCCTGCAGACGTTATGCAGGTGGTTAATTGATACCGCAGTGACGTGGTGCACCGCGGGCGGGCACATGCACCCGCGCGTTATCGTACACCGCCGTCGGCTGCCGCTGATCGCGGCCGCGGTTTGTACATTCGGAATATTCAACGGCCGGCCATCGTGCGCGGGGGGGGGGTAACTGTTGCAGCGGGTGTAATGAGCGACGCGCGTCGGCCAAAATCAATTCGCATTCGGCTGTCGCTATGGCGACAGTTTCATTACGTACACTACACTCGGGGCTCAGGTGTACTCAACCTTTCCGGTTACCGTGGTATTACCGCGGTGCGTAGCATTGATGCGCGCGTGCAAACCAACATCAACGCGTTCACGCGCTCACACCTCGCAGTCTCTGTAACAAAAACCTTCCCTCGATCTCTACCCCATGCCGTGCTCGAGCTGCTCGGGCTCGTCATCATCGGCGCACATGTATTAGCGGCAAAACATCCTGTCGCCGCCGCAGGTAACGGTAACGAGAGGTAGAAAACGCACCCCGGGTGTTCGAATGTTCGCAATCGGGAAAGCCGGATTTGAAACTGATAGCCGGATAACCCAAGTCTCCCGAGTGAAACCCGAATCGATGTGATCGGATACGATTGTTTTTGCATACGTGATTGTGTTGTGCGTAAAGTTTTTTGTGGGTGGTTGGTAATTGGGCCACATTTTATCTACCTGTTTTGTATAAAATATTTGTTTACATTTTACTATCCAGAGATTGGGCCACAAATGAAATCAATATTTTTAAATAGTATCCGGAGATTGGTCCATAAATGTACAGAATAAAAATATATGAATATACAACGTTTATTAACTAATCATTATTTTTATAATGCCTAAAATACAATAATTTTTTTTTAATAATGCCATACGCAGGATTCAAAAATTTAATATAATATAAAAAGTCAATAAAATTAGTCAAATAATAATAATTATCATAAATATTTTTTTCTGAAAATTACATAAAAGTACAATTTTTTTTTTTTAATAATATGAAATCGATCTTATAAATTCAAATCTATTCTTTTTCCCTTCTGCATAATTTTGAATTTCATTAAAAATATATTTTTTACGAATTAAAGTTCTTTTTCTTGCTTTTATCGTTCTTATGCTTCTTATTTTAATATATACTTCGAATTGAACCCCCAATAAAACATTAAAAAATTATGAATATTGGGATGTGAAATATAAAAATTGTTTTTTAAAATGTGAATGAAAGGACTCGATGGCAATAGTGGCCCAATCAACGGGTCTACCCTGTTATAAATTTAAAACTGCAATGGCCCAATTACCGTATACCTTTTTGAAAAAAGGTTAATTATGGCCCAATTTCCAGGCGCCCTTTTTTGTAACTTTCGACTCTCCGGTCGAGAATTTTCTTTTACCACCCCTTCCCTCCTAGCACCGTTCGCTCTTCTCGTACATGTAGTTAGCATATATATATATTGTTCTATACACCCTGTAGTCGTGAATACGTATCTATTGATAAGATGCGTGAACGAGTTTTCATGCATTAATCGATTTTTAATTTTGTTTTGCGC